GTATTTACTTGTGTACACATATAGTGCTTATGTAATACGATAAGTGCAAAAACGATATGTACTTAAATGAAAAACAATTGAATTTAATGATGAGCTCCTTTGCCACAGAATTTATTGGATTTCGCTAACTACTATACACAATAAAATTAATTTCTCAATCATTTTGACGAACAATTTGCACGCGTTGCACTTTTATTTATTTACATGCGCGTTTTGAAGGGGGAATGCCGATAAGAATGAAACATTAAAATTTTGTTTTTATTTACATAAGACTCTTATTTAGTCAAATAATTGCTTTTCCTTTATTAGAGCTTCAATTTCCAAGTACACATTCATCGCGCTCACTTTTCATGGCTTGATATAAATAAAGCATTGAAATAACTAGAATGTTGACCAAAGTTGCCGCATACTGCGAATAATAAAGGTATACATAGATACACATGAGGAAAAAACCAACAGCTCCACCTTCGAGGAATACAAGTTAAACGTGGATGTCGGTGGTTTTTTCCCCACTAATGATTCGAAGTGTTCTTTTCCATAGATAAATATCTGTTGAGATATGCACTGGGATACACTGGGATCTCTCTTAGGGTACGCGCACATAGAGCCTTCATAGCTGAAATTTGAGATTAACTGTTTTTAAGCAGAAAGTTGGGCTTATATGAGCAAGTAAACCTGTTATCAAAGTGTGCACATCGGCAGCTGAGAGATGAGCTGAAAAAAACACACATAAAAACATATAAAAAATTTTTTCAAAACATGAAATAAATATTTTTTCCAGGATAAAAAGTGTGTACAGTGGATAGAGTGTATATTACTATATAAGTAAAGAATCAGTGCATACCGCTACTATGGTTTTGCCGATTTGAACAAATCTCAAGTAAAACTAAATAACACCACAGAACCTTTAAATGCACTAAAATTCAATAAAACTTACGCAATAATTACCTTTTTTATTTTCTTTATTAATTGTTTTTATAAATCATATATTTTTACAATTTAACACAATCAAAGCACCTTTCTTGACGAAAAATAGAATATTAAGAGAATTGACTATTTCACAGTTTATTTTATCCTCGTACTCGGCTTTGTCTACTCTCACTTGAGAAATGTTATCGCCGTCAGGAATGTGCAATCTTGTATCCTATCATACTTGTATTTTTTTTTAGTTTTTAATTTCTATGCGATCTTCTTTATTACATTATTTTTCTTATATCGATTTTTTTTTTTTTTTTTGCTTCAGAAGCAGCATAACAAAAATAATTTGAGTCGATCGACCAGAATCCGAATCAGCGATCACCTGTTGAGTAACCTGATAATAAGTTCGTCGAATATTTTCCTAATACACTCCACACCTCCGAGTAAATGTGTGCATTTATAATATACGCAGTACATACAAATTATTTATTGGTTGGCAGTGGCAGTGTCCACAACAGCAACTACCACAGTGTTACGGCGGCGGCTGGTCAACATGGCGTATGAGTGCTGGACTAACTAAACCTAAACGATGAGCACAAATTGGACATGTGGTTGTTGCCCTACGTAATTACGCTTTCAACTAATTGATTTCACACTGTGCGTACGCATTTTCCGCCCAAAAGATAATTTTGAACTGTTGAATTTACATTAACAAAATGGGTTAGTAATTTATGAATTGGCCTTTCCCAGCAGCCGCCATTAAATATAAATTCGGAAAGTCCAGCGTGGCGTATACGCAATGCTAAGCGAAGTGGCATAGCGCCATTTGAGCGGGTGCATTTTATAATTTAGCGCAACGCGAAAATGGTCATATCTGCACGCAGCCCAAACGCAAATGCAGGATTTGGTGGCTTCTATCGATAACGGCAGGAAGTGTTAGTCGATTCATTGCTCACCGTTGCATCTGCTGCAGAAATTCATTCAATTCATTCTGAAAAGTTTTAAATGGAAATAAATGTGCGTTAAATAACTCTCATTGCTGTATATGTACTATATGTAAATCACAATCAGTATCTAAAGTTATTGCAAACTTTGCTTCACGCGAATTAGCATCAGCACTGCAATAGTATTCCGCTTTTGTTACACTCACTTTTAGATAAAAGCTTATAAAGTTTTGAAACATGTCAAAACTCCATTAGCTAGTAGGGCTCGTAAAATTATCCGACTATTCGACTAATCGGTTAACCGATTATTCGATTCGTAACCGTTCGCATGCTTATTAGTCGGTTAATGGTATTCGAATAGTCGCCCGCCTTCGATTATTCGAATAGTTGCTTTGCTTCGACTACTCGAGCATTGTAGCAAATCGAATTTCAGTAACCGAACTTTCATTGAAACTTCTTTGACAAATGAAAAAATTTTTTTTTAAATATATACATGCACACATATGTATGTATATTCAGATACAAAAATGAGCGGACGCAAAAGGAGCTGGGTTTGGGATTTTTTCGAAAAATCAGAGGACGAAAAGGAAGTAACATGTTCCATATGTGGTGCAGTTTTGTGCTACAATCATCCACATCCTCACTGAACAAACATTTAACAAAAATCCATAACAAAAACTCGCCAAAATGAGAGGTAGGTATTGCTTTAGCCATTGTCTCTAAAATATTTCGCAATAACATTTCAATAATTAGCGCACATTCTTGCGAAAAAAGTTTGCCCTAATTTTGCACATGCAATCATATATATGTACTACGAATGTAACAAGACTTTTCATATATGTATATGTATCTGTAAATGCAAAAAAAACTCGAACTTAAAATATTCGATTAACCGAAAATGAACGGTTAGCCGAATAATCTAAAGTGAACGGTTATCCGAATAGTCGACAGCTTTCGACTACTCGAATATTGCTAACCGATTAACAGTAGTCGACTTCAGTCAGATTCGAATAATTCGGTTAATCGATTAACCGAATTGCCCGAGCTCTATTAGCTAGGTTTACGCACATTAGTGCGTGCATATAATGAAGATAATAAAAAGTTTCGGTTTAGTTCATTTAAATTCACAAAAAGATAGGAGGAAATGTGAATAGTTATGAGCAGCTCAATTTAATAGCCAGATAGATGCACTTAGCTTTGATCGATGAGAAAGTAGCACTGCATCGAATTATTCGCATGGAGTATATATGCCTCAATTCGATAATGATCAGACGGTATTTGGCTATAACAACTAAGTGTTTCTCGGCCTCACTGGAGTGTCATGATTCGTCAATTTCTGGTACCAAATTTTCTTCCATTTTATTTCACGGAGTTTTAAAAACATTACACCTTTGGATTCTTTCCCATCATCGTCGCTGAGGCGAATTTGTGAAACCCTTTGGGAAACCGCCCTGCAAACCAAAGTTCCCGAAATCTTAAGGAAATCGTTAGGAGTATCTCATTTCTCTAACGATTTTTTTACGAATTTTCACAGAAAATTATATGAAGTGGTTGACACGAACTCGTAAAGAAATTTCTGTACGAAAAATAAAGAAAATTCTGGAAAGATTCTGAAATATATTCTTCACATAGCAGCATTATTTTCGTTGCTTCACAGATTTTCTTCCGAAATTTCGTAATTTATTTCATTTTAGAAAATTCGGCAAAAAATCTAATTAAACCTTAACGAATTCTTTAAAATTTCTTTACAATGCAGAATACTCTGAGAAAATGGTTTGCAGGGCGAATGCCCGCCACCTTGAAAGATTTAATCGTTCGCTCGTTTCCTAACTGAATTATAAATAAATCCAGAATAAAAAGCAAAAGGGAACATCACTAAGTGCAAATATTTTTGTTATAACACGCGCAGCAAGAAAATATGTATAATTCTCTTCTATCGGAATCATAAAGGACTGTCGTGAACTGTACTTATACACATACACAGTCCAGTTGGGGCATTTTATTCAGTGCTTTCTGAGTAGCGTTTGTAAAAGGTCTAGACTATTTATTCGAAATATGTACATGCATCTGTTTTAGACACGCACTTCCAAATGTATGTGTATGTATATGAATGTATGTAGTAGTATATCTACTAGGTGGGTGAGACGTATTTCACTAGAAATAAATACCTTTACATAAAGCAAAGATGTTAAGTGATAAATTTAGAAGCATTAAAAAATGTATAATAAAATAATGTTCAATGAGTTTTCCGGCATGGAAAATTCCGTTTTCTTATGAGAAGTTATCAAGCATGCACACAGTCAAGGACGAAGAAGCGGCATGCTTTTGGCAGAAAGTGCGAAGCAGTTGCTAAAAATTAAAAAAAAATATATTTTAAATTCGAAGGGGAGGTACTGGAAATATAAGTACTTTCCTAATAAAAATTTGTGAAATAATATCTGTACATTTGAATCTTTTATCGACCGTTTTTCAAAGTGTGCAATTTCTTTGCCTTACGCTTTATAAGAGTAAGTTCAGTTTTTCATTTGTCTGCACCTATCCATGAATTACTCTAAATTGTATTTATTGTGAAGGTTGGTGGATTTAACAGGAAACACTTTAGAATTTAATACGAATTTGGTAAATTTCGGCAATGACTTTGGCCTTAAAATTTCATGTACTTGCATGCAAGTTTTTTTTATACCTGAGCGCACTTTTGCACAGGAATAGAGATAGATATAGACATATAAATGTATACCAAAATGCTCAGAAAGAATTAGTATGTAAAGTAGAATTTACGCATAATATAAGACAATTATGAAATTTTTGGAAAATAGGCGTAGCGATACCTACTTAGTGAGAAATGCTGTATCTAAGTAGCCGCTTCACCAGCCATACGAACATTGCTTAGGGTCCGACTAATAAACTTGTTGAACATTTTTGGAATCTACATTTACGCCCACTTTCCATAAATGGGCGCGGCATCGCCTACGCAAGTCTATCTCCATAACCGATTAATCGAGTTTTACCTAACTTGGGTCATCAAGTCTAACCAAGCATATTATAGAAATGTATTAACAAATGAAAACAAACATTTACTTTCTCATTTTTAGTGTAGAGATTTTCAATACTGCTTATTAACTTCCAGGATGCGTATTAGAACGTTGAATTAGCTACTACAACTACCATTTTTTTTTACAGCTTTACACTTGTAGTAAATAATAGCTGCTAGCATTACCTTTAAATAAATCTTTTTATTTGCTATAAGTCTATTGTGTTACAAATTTTTGGTAGATATATGATGAAGACAAGTTATTATTTATGTATTTATTTAATATATTCAAGCAAGATTTTGGCAGCTTCATCTTCCCAACAGAATCCGGCGCAGTTGACAATCACACGCACTTAAATTTGAAGATTTCCGCGCCATTGCCGGGAAATGTCGCGAATACAACATCATTAAAGTCGTTAGCCCCGTAACGATCCAGCAAATGTGGCGGCAGCAGTGTGAAATATTTTTCCTTTAACATTTTTATGTATTTGGCCGATGCTTCGACTGAATCACAGCAAGCAACAATGCAGCCACCCCAGCTGAAAGGAGAATACAAAAACATATAAAAACATGCGTACACAGTTAAGGCGATAAGCGAAGTGAATTGTGTAAGTACACGTGCATGTACATTAGGGCGGGTTGACTTGTATGGATGAAAAAAAAATATTAAAAATCGTATAGCAAAAACGTAATCTACATTAAATTCTAAGAAAATTCTCTGAAGAAACCATGGGTCTAAAATCAAACCCTAATCCGCGCCTCTCGACTTCAACATTTTTTTTTTGTATCTTCTTTCGCTAAAATTATTTTCTTTTATTGAAATATATTATGTTTTATTATATTATATTATAGTTTATGCAATACAGATTTTGTTTTGAAAGTAATCAAAATATTCAATTATCAAAAAAGCAGTTGAACCCCAATTTGCATCGCCTCTGATTTGCGTAATTGGGTGGNATGTTTTATTATATTATATTATAGTTTATGCAATACAGATTTTGTTTTGAAAGTAATCAAAATATTCAATTATCAAAAAAGCAGTTGAACCCCAATTTGCATCGCCTCTGATTTGCGTAATTGGGTGGATATTTTTTTTAATGAAAAAAAATTTTGAGTGTAGAAAAAATATAAAGTGCAAAAGAACTACCTTACTAAACAATTTTATTCAGAAAATTCGATTTCTTTTTGGAAAAACCTATTTTTTCTAACATTTATTTTTTTTTGGCAAAGGCGGCCATATAAATTTTCAAGTCGTGAGGCGCGGATTAGGATTTTATTTTATATACATAGTTTCTTCGGAGAATTTTCTTAGAATTTTATGTAGTTTACGTTTTTGCTATAAGATTAAAAAAAAAAAAAAACCAACCCGCCCTAATGTACATATATACTACATATGTACAGAAATATGTACATAAATATTGTTGCGCGATAAAGAGGATGTAAAAGTAAAAGTAGTACAGCTTATAAATATAAATGTCCTACCCAGCACCGGTGAGCCGTGCGCCCACACCTGCCTCATCGGATAAGGCAATCAATCGATCCAGATCAACGTGTGAACACTCGTACAGCTCCTTAAGACTTTGATGCGATTGACGCATCAATTGTGACAGCACGGTGAAGCGTTTCGTCGAATCCGTTAGGCCCCCATCATCATCATTTTCTTGGCGTTCGTTGTCACTGCTGCCATTCGATGTGCCATGGACGCCGTTAACACCATTGTGGAGGTGTGGAGGCGAGTGCTTATTTGCGATATAGCTGTCGCCATCACCGTTTGTTTGCGCGCATATTTCACGAAATTTCGCCACACGCAGGGACTCTGGAATATGTACGATTATTTAATAAGAAGAAAGAAATTTACGATAACTGTTATGTCGACTTCCCACTCGCTTCTTCTACTTACCCTGTACGACATGCAGCGCACGTTGACGTAGTTTAAATTGTGTCATATGCCGCGTATTGGCCGTGAGAAATTCCTTTTCAAATTCCTCAGCGCTGACCTCCAATTCGGCTGCGCACAACTCGTTCCGCTTGTAAACATCCTTTGGCAACAATTTCCGCACCAGCTCTTCCAGCTCAGCGAGCGTACAACGTAACGACTCTTGCAATTCCACAAAGCGAATCATTCTGCGCCAGTTGTTGCACTTCGCATGCTTTGCAACAATGCGCGTAGCCAGTCGACATTCCACCACACGTTCATTGAAATCCGATGAAGCGGCTTTGTTTTTCGCCGCTAGGCTGTTCGCCACAATGAAACATACGCCAGCTGGCAATTGTACAGGTGTGGCATTTAACTCCGGATGGAATTCAATGAATTGCGCGCAGCCAGCCTTGGCCAGGTAGGCGATGGCCTGATCCATACCCCCACCCTGTGTGCCAATGTAGCGTTCGCAGCGCGCCGATATGGCGGCCAAGTGCCTGCGATCCAAAGGCAGCTGATGAACATGTGCTGTGGCCAATGCAGCGGCACTAACTAGCGCGCTCGAGCTACTCAAGCCCGAGGCTGGTGGAATGTTGCCGCTAAGCGCGATTGTCATGCCGAGTGGGTTGAATGGCTGCTTATCATCGCTTAGCTGTTGAATTTGGTCGTAGATGCCCTTAACACCACACAGATAGTAATTGTACCATTTTGGGCCGCCATTGGCGGGTAAGTCAATGCTGTGAAGAGAGACAATGAGTGACGCGTAAATATTTCTCAGCTAAGTAATGAAATGAGTGGGTGAAGGAGTGCTGCCTATTAGTTAGTGCATACCTTAAGGCATTCAAATCACATTTGAAGTTCTCGTAGTACGTTGCTTCGACGTTTCGTATTTGTAGAAATGTATTTTCCGCATTTTGGCCGACTGCGAGCAGAATGCACTGATCAATGGCCATAGGCAAAACTGGGTAACCGCAGTAGTCCACATGCTCGCCGATTATATTAACGCTGTCAATTAAAAAGAAAAAGCAAGTATTTATGTGTATGTATATATTTATATGTAAACGTTATAAATTAAAAAAAAATTATTTTACACATATTTTTAGTTCAGATAAGGTTGGCTTAAATGGAAAGCTATAGTTAAAGAGTTCACTCTGTGGTCGCACAGGCCCACGCCATGTCCAAGAGAGGACGCTCGCAGACCTATCCCTTCATGTCTTTAAACCTGATTCTGATTTTCTCGCGAACCCTAGTTGACCCTCTAATTGTCCCTCCTATGGATCTATGTATGTTTTTCACCTCTATATCTTCTACAGAATGGTTTAGGGTCCCGTTATTATTCCCGGTTGAGAAGCCGACGTTGGATTTGAGCGGTTTCGCAAACTCAATGTCTGCTCACCAGTCGAGCAGGGGCATGGAGTCGGGTCGTCACGGGGTGGTTTCCATAGTTACATTTCACGAAGAACTGCTTCGGTAATAGGATGTCTGGCTTTCATCATGGATGGCAGCCTGTAGCCGCACGTAGAGCTGAGTTCTGGCCGGATTGCAATATTCTACACTGCGTTTCGTTCGTTCTTGTCAACCACACAGGTGCTGCATACTTTGATATCGATCGGCCGATTTCTCTGTATATTGTGACCAGGGTCTGTTTATAGGCTCCCGAGATGATCGTATAGATCGACCTCTAGGCTCATTTCCTTGATCCATGTGACAAAAAGTGTGGCAGTGGATTTCGCGGCAGAAATCTCGAGTGAAGAAGTTGGAAAGGTCGCAAATCCCAAGATGGTTGGTGGTTCTAAGTTTAACGGAATGAAATTTTTTTTTGCTTATAAAAGCCATCGTTTTGTGTTTAACTGTTATTGATTTGAAATAGATTTAAATTTTTGGACTATAATAATAATTCAGCAAGGATTTCAACTAAAATCTTTCAAAGAATCAAAACACCGCTGTTCGACTATACCCCTTTTTTTATGTATTATTCCTTTTTTCTCTTTTTTTTTGTACCAAAAAATTTTGTTAGCTAAATTTTTTTCGTCAAATTAAAGTGTTTAGACACTAAAAAGGCCGCGACAGAGAAAGCAGGAAAAGAACTTGAGGCAAAAACAGCATATGTCAACAAAAAATAATTTACCGCCTTTTAACTTTTTCTTTTTTCAAAACAAGTGAATGTTTTCTTTTGAATAAAAAGCTTTGAAGATGCGCATATCGATGATCCTGTGCAATAACGACACAATTCAAAATTCAAAAAATAAAAACTGTTACTACTGTTAAGTGGCTCATGTCTTTAATCCTTGTCGAATCCATGTCTAATCTTTTGTACTTACTTTAGCAATCCTTTTTGCTTACTTTAGTAAGGGATGGACATGGATTAGGCATTGATTAGAGACATGAGACACTTAACAGAAGTAACAGTTTTGGTTTTTTGAATTTTGAATTGTGTCGTTATTGCACTGGACCATCGATATGTACGTTATTTTTCTCTGCTAATAAATTGTTGTCTCCAAATATGACAGTGAAAACCAACCAGCCTTACGTATATAATTCAATCACCTGCATGCGCATGAGTAAAATGTCTCAAATTTCAGATGAAGGCAACGTTAACTAGCTGAGAATATTATTTTTAAATTTTACATTTTAATTTTGGAAATTAAAAAAAATACTGGTAAAAATACTTGTAATTAAAATTGCCGGTATTCTTTAAATTTTAGTAAACATTTGAGTCATTTTTCGCATATCGGTGAGGGCGACACCTACTATTTTTTTTGTAAGTTGAACGCATGTCGGTGCGCCATCTAAATTAAGTAACTACTCCACCATCACGCCACCTACCGTCCAGGCATACGAACATAAAATTCCGGTTCCTCACCAAACTGGCTGCAGTAAAAATCGTGAAGTACACTGAGACGCGAATATAGTCGATGTTCCGGCCGAAGTTCAAGACTCGACATACAGATGACGCCCTTCGCACTTGCAGACATTATATCGATTTCCTATAAATGAGAAGCAGATGCTGCCGCTGCAGTTGTTGAATTTTTTCTACCGGTTGAGGTTTTTCGCTACTACCGCTTTTTGGACCCTAACCGCTTCGCGCTAGGCAGTTTTTGGTCCCAAAATAAAGAAAGCTGCCGTAAGAGAAATGCCAAAATAACGAAATGTGTAGAATGGCAAGAATTGGTTAATAACAAATAACAACAAACCTATAAACAGAAAGATACAAATTCAATCGGTGAATATGGTAAAGCACACAAAATGCACTGTGAGATAATAATATTCCTATTAGATCTCCCAGAGACTGGCGACTAGCAAGTGGGGAGCAACTTCTGCTTTGCATGTGGAGAAGTTCGAACTTGCAAATGGGCGTCAACTCAGTTTGTGCTTGTGAGTCTGTTGCGGTTGGAGCTGAAATTCTGCATTCCTTTGTGGCAATTGGCCACGATTCATTGTGTATCAGGATCGAACAGTCAATCCAATATGCAGTTTACAGGCATTCAAGAAAATCTAATAGGCACATACGTGTTACTAATAGGAAATTCTTTGATGGCGATTGCGCGGAATAGGTAATCTTCACTTTAACAAAACCAAAACAAAATATGCATTCGGACTAAGAGAGCTTGTCATACCAGATGCTGGTACAGCCACTCAGGTGCTAGAGCAGCCAACAAAGAGGGTGTACCTGTAGAGTCTGCTGAAACGGATTCCAACACTTCATAGTAAGAATCCCTAAAAAAAAATTTCACAATCAAATTTTTACTTTTTAATTCCTTAATGCAGTAAAGCGACGAAACATCCGTTTGCGAGTGAGCTGAAGTGATAAGGCGTAAAACCTCGCGCCTGCTGGGTGTGATTGCCACTATGTTAAACCCCCTCCAAATGAAATATAACAACAAGATGAGACCCTCCTCATTTTATGACGACCACGGCAACCGTTTAAAGGATTACCATTTGAATTTATGCACCTGGAATATCCGGACCCTTAGTGGGCAAGGTGTATCTGCCGGCTGGTTGGTGTCCTCTGGAAGACAAAGGCTGACAACATATCGAATGAATGAAGAGAAACGCTCCAGCTCTGAAATTGGAAGTCTTTTTTTGCGATGGAAAGAGCAGGTGGATAAGGACTTGGCTTGAGGTGGCGCAGAAGAGCAACAACTTATTTGCTTTTTTGAACTCGCCCAAAATCGCTAAGGCAGATACAGTGCCAATCAAGAAGAAGAATGCAGAAAGATTTTAATAATATTTTGTTAAGAACTGGATTTCTTTATAGATGTTTCGTACTCAATACAGATTTTTTAATAGACACACATCGCTACCTTGGCATTGAAGGATCCTAACTCATTTCGCTTGCGAAATCTGGCGTCGTACAAAATTCTGTATATCACTCACTAAGGACTTAATTTTTTTAAATTTAAAACAACTACTATGGGGATCAATAAATTTATTTATATTTTTCAGTGTTTAACAAAAACCACTCGTTATAAAGTTTATAACGGAAATACTTCTTACACCGGGACTTTCTACATTAAAGCACCGATATAAACAAATGTGCATACATACATAAATATGTACATGCATTTGTATGTGCTACGCGGGAATGTATTTACGAATATATCTACCCAGTGAGAAAAGTAGTGGTACCATTACATGCGTGAGAAATACTATAATGTATTTCTTATGAGTTTAAGATTCCATTACTTATTAATATATAATAAGCATTCTAATGTATCCAAAAATTCCAAAACAAATCATATTAAATCGCATAAATTCATTGATTAGTAGGTAATGCAAAATTGAAGGTCCTACTTCAATTTACTGTTTTACTGATTATTTTTTCGAGTACCGTACATTTTCCCACTGGATACATACATACATATTTATATACATACATGTACATATATCTTTGAATTAAACGTGCTTTGATGTATTAAATTGAGTTTTTTAACACATAGGTACATACATATACCCCAAAGGGAACCAGTCCGATTGTAACTAGTGAAAAATCGGCGAAATGTGGTACTTTTAAAAACTATTTTATTTCACCTTTTCCATTAGAAATCTATATCTAAGGTAATTAAGAACTAGCTCGGAACTATAGCAAAATTAATGCAGAACGATCAGATCTTTTCTGTCGAATTTAGAGCTAGTTCGGAACAATCGAAAAAGGGATGCAGCTGGGGCTTGTTTACTTTACACAGATATGTGTTTGGCGGCTTTTTCGTTCAAATGCGCTTCTACTCTGCACTTCGCAGATGCTTTTTCATACCTTGGTAATACAAAAACAAGAATTTATGTTAACATTTTAACATCTTGGATCTTCTGGAATCTAACCAATAACAGCAAGCACCTCTGCAAACTCAGCTACAACCAAAGGTATATAAACGTACATTTCTTACAATCATTTAGACAAATTTAAAATAATTAAAAATCGCACACGCGGAAGAACTAAAACGATTAAAAAATCATGATACTTTTTTCTTTCGTCTGTCGATTTTAGAACTGTTTCACAACTATAGAATTTAGGACTAGTTCGGAACTATCGAAAAAGGGATGCAGCGGACACTTCCTAGGACATCGCCATTTTAAATTCGCCAGTTGTTTTCATGCAAAAGAGATTTATCGCTATCCAGTACTGGGCTAAATGTACTACAAGCGCATCAGTTCAGAACTACAGATTTTCCAACAGGGTAATTTTAGCACAGCGCACACACACACACATACACACACACACACGACAGCGAATTGATAAGAGACGGCGGCGGCAGAGCGAGCGAGCACAACAAGAACGACAAGTAACAATAACAATCAATAATAAAAGAGGTTATTGCGTTGATTAGACTGCACTGCACTGGTTATGGTAGACTTTTTATATTAATTCCGCCCGATTCAGCAAGTTTTATTAACCTATTTAATTAGTACTACACCACGCCAGAAGGTAGAAGAAATTTTATAATGCATCCACTTTGCAGTGGCGCTTTTGACTGGGGAAATGTCAAAATTCGATAAGGAGAGAAAGCGACAAATCAGCAAAGCTAGTCGTCATTTGTTCTAGCAGAGTGGAGAGAGTATTCTTGGGAGAGTGCTCTCGAAAATGGGTGTGGATATGAGGGAGACGATAGAAATGCGCGCGCTGCACAGTGACTTCGTTTCGTAACGACAGGGGTAAAAATTGCTAGCGTTGCTGTAGTGAATTTGAATATATTAAATATATTACAGAGCTCACAAGGTGTTGTATACTGTCGTATTGTTTTACATATGTCATAAACTCGAAACGATTAACACTATATTTAAGGGATTCGCATGCTACCATAAAAGTTGTATTATCAAATTTCACACCGTTAAAAAAATAGTTGGTTGTGGTTTCAAGTCCTCTAAATATTTATTTACATAGCCGTTAAAAGCCTTACGACATACGACACTTTCGACACCTTGTGAAGAACCTAATTGTTTTTCTTATTATTTGCCGATAACGTAAAGCAATATTTGTCACGATCAAAAAATATTTCGGTTATACTCAGCGTGCTCAGGTTTGATGCATGTCAAGTGATATTTCCATTAAGCAATAAATTTGCCACCTACAGTATAAAAACGGCTCGTACAAATTCAACTTTGCTAGAAAATATTAAATAAGAATGTTGTGAGCAAAACGGAAAGTGCCAATAAAAAACACTTGTGTACATGCCTACGAAAAAATGTACACATGTGCATATGTATGTACATTAGGGGGGTAAAAAAAAAAAAAAATCATTGCCAGTCCGTAGAACTGCATAATATCGAATATAAGGTGACCCTTGGTTTTTTTTTATTTTGAAGTCGGTTCAAATTTAACCGTGCCGCCCGGGGCCTTGAAGTTTTTAATGGGAAAAATAATTATCGCACATTTAACTTTAAAATTTTTTATAACGGACAATCTCATCTCATATTTCACGCACTTTGACGCACGCACGCACGCATTTTGAAAAAAAATTTAAAATTTTAAAATTAAATTTGCATAATAATTCTTTTTGGAAGAATTCTAAAGAAATTATTTTTTTTCGATAAAATCGTATTTACTTTTAACGATTTCAAAGCAAATCTACGAAAAATTATCGAGTCCTAACCGCCAAAATAGCGTAGGCGACATTTTTTTTCAAAACTTTCTTTTTGATGCAAAAATATTCCTAGAATAGATGCAGATAGATACATTTCGACATCAAAATGAAAATTTTGAAAAAATCCCGCTTACGTTGTTTTCGCGGTTAGGGCTCGATATATTTTCTACATATAAAATATGTACATAGATATAAAGAAAAACCCCAGCGGCATCGTTATATATTAAACGATTTCAAAATAAAACAAAAAATGTGTCTTCCTATTTTCCTTTTTCTATAATTCTGGCGAGTGATGGCGAGAATATTCTGAAAAGTTAATTTCCCTGTGTATATTTTGACCACCCTAATGCATATGGTACCAGAATTAATAAGTAAGGGCCCACAAAAATCCGAACTCTGCCTACATGTGTACGTCAAATAAGTAAGTGCAACTGATTTGACGAAATAATTACAGAAATTAAGGTAGTAGTCTATGTATTATTTTTCCTTTTAAAAGAATAATAATTGCAAAAATCACAGAAATTCGCCTCGCTTCCGAAAAAAATTCTTTCCGTTCACACTCAACCGACGACAACGACTTGAAATCAACTGGAATTTTTTATTAAGATGTCTTGCGTATTTCTACATCATACTTGATATCGCAGCAGTGTTGTTGTGTTGTTGTTTTTGAACTCATAGTTTTACAACTTGTTGCCTTATCAGCCGATGCAATACAGCACTTTTATCTTAATTTGACTCGCTTTATTATTGTGCCAACCAAAGGTATGGCTCTTATGTGTTTTTAAATACATATACACACATACATGCATACATATGTACATACAAACACCATACACTGTAGAACCAGTTGAATCTGCATTTTAAATTTAAAAAAAAAGAAGATCTGTCGTCACCTTCAGATTCCGTTAAAGAAGTTTAGTGGGGTATTCATTCATATTAATTTTTGAATTATTCATAGAACCATTTAATATCAGTTTTTCATATAAAAAATTAATTTATATAAGTCAGCATTATGCTATAGTTTTTCAATAGTTTTTTAGTATTTACACATCGGCGGTACTTTTATGAGATACGAGGTAGTAGATATTGATTTCTGAGATAAGAGGTTTTGCCAAAGTACCGTGGACCGCGGGAGACCGTTAGCAATAACTTCACTTGCAATTAAAAAAAAAAAAAAAAAAAAAAAAA